GAGCGGCGGAAGAGTAAAAAAGATGAAACAAGAAAGGAAAGAAGGCAGAAAAGAAAGACTAGAGAAAAGACAATTCATCTACCTCTCAGTTTTGATACTCGCGTGTTTCGTGCAACATTTTGTGGACTGGAATTTCTTACTGATATGTTGTCGGTCTTTTTTTATTAACCTGTCCATCCCTCCATCCCTCCCTACCTCCTAACCTCCTCCTTTTCTTCTATAGATACTACGCTAAGTTTGGGCTCAGATCTTTTATTTAAAGTAGTGTCAATCAAAAACATGTAAAAAGTACTGAACGAGATTTTTTTTTGTATGAGCATTTTTTTCCTACAACAATAGACCTATGGAGGGATATTTATCTGTAAAACTTTGTCTAGGAGTATTAATTAAAGCCTATTACTGTTTATATAGTTTACAGATTTCATCTTTCAGTAAATGTCAGCATTTACTTTCACTCTGAAAACATTTTTGCTCCAGTTTATTTATTGAATGAGCAAAGACTAGATATATTCATTTTTTCAAGAGATTAAAAAAAAAAAATGTAGGTTAAATTTTGAGGCGAAAGTACTCAAATGTTATCATGCACAAAGTGAAATTCCTTTTCTAATCGGGAAAAATGAATGACGCAATTGTAAAATTACTTACACTAATCATATTAATTATCCTACCTTTTCAAAGCGGTGACTAAGACGTCTATGTGATGTCTGGCTAGCCAGTGGACTCCCCCCAACACAACCACAGTGTCGCTAGAGTTTGACAGATCCTGCATCCTGGAGAAGAAAACGAAAGAGTTATTACATATTGTTAGAAATTGTAAACACTGTCAGTTATGGAAACACTGTAAACATTGCTGGCTTGGTCTCAAGAAAACCCAGCTTTTGAACACAAGATACGTTTGGTATTGTCAGCTTGACCGAATTCCTTGATTATAGCTAACTAATTCACCACCATGACTATAACGAATCATGCACGACCTTTGCTACTACGACTTACATATGACCTTGGCTATTATGACTATGACCTCGGCTATTACCACCCATTCATGATCTTGGCTATCACAACTCCTACACGACCTTGACTATCTCCTGCATGACCTTGGCTATTACTACTCTTACACAACTTATTACCACTCATACATGACCTTAGCTATCATAACTCCTACATGACCTTGACTATCTCCTACATGACCTTGACAATTACGACTCCTGCACGACCTTGACTATCCTGACCCTCACCTGCTGATCAGCTGGTGCAGAGCTTTATCAAACACGGGTCTCTCCCTGGAGGGCAGCCAGAACTGAGGGTAGTAAGCGAACCCAAACACCGTGCGGCCCGCGTTGAGGTGCGGGTAAACTTTTATCTTGTGGGTCTTGTCCCAGTGGAGGAGAGAGCCGTTGACTCGCTCCATGATGTAGTGAAGGATTCCTCTGTTGGTGGAGTCTCCGATGAACAATGCCTACGGAGGAGTAGCCAGATAGAGAAAGAAATAGATTATGCTCGTATAATGAATAATATAAGAGGCAATGTGGTGAAATCAGGCGCTCGTCAAAATAATAAAATTAAAGAAACAGGTATTTTTCTGTGTTTAGCAATTTTTATCGAATTTTTGTTTTTTGGATTACAATATATGATATGTGAGGTAACGTAGTGATACCATGATACCAATAACTAAACATTCCCAAAAATTGACGAGCACCTGATTCCACTACATCGTGACACATATACATATATATACACATAGTAGTCTCCGCCTAAAATCTTGGTGCTTGGGAGCAAGGAAAATACGGGATTTTAGGCAAACGGGATCTTAGGCGATTAGCCAGGGAGAGAACCCACAGTGACTTATGGTCAGGCCCACAATTGGTAGAAAAGTCTCTCCCTACTTTGAAATGTACTGATGTGACCCTCTGGTGGGTGCACCACTTACAGCGAGCAAAGAGTGGTTAACCTTAGTGCTTGATGACCGATCACAATAGTATCATCATTATCATCATCAATGCCTTTCACCCCTGGCAGGATATAGGCCACACATACAAGCTCCACCCATTTATCTCTGTCCTGGGCCATCCTTCCTCCAAGCTCGTTCCGAAGGAGCTTCATCTCTCTCATGTCCCTTTGGTATGAGGCATGCTACTTTCCCTAATCCAATCAACCCCAGGTATCCCTCTCAGCACGGGTGGGCCCTGACAGGCAGCGTCAAAGCCCGCCTCCTAAATGATCTAAATTGTCTCAACAGGAGTGTAAAAATGCTCACACATAGAGAAAAGAATTATGCGACATTGATGAATGATTTTCTTGTACTGAGCTTGCCCATTGTGAAGGACCTCTCCCAAGGCAGACCAATGAACTGATATTTTTAAAATCTATTCGCTTTTGATTTACCTTCTTCCCTGTGAGACAGGTCTGGACATCTTGAGTGGTCAGTTGTTCCTCTCGACACCCCTGTGTCTGCCACACCGCATGCTTCCACAAACAGGTGCTGTTGTCATGGCAACTGCTACAAGGCACGTACCACTGTCCTGTGTGTCATCGTAACGTCGAGTGAGGTTAGATTGTCACAAGGATGTTGATGATGTAATGTGATGTATGTCATACACAAATGTGTTAACAAAATGTAGAGTATGCCATACACAAATATATTGATAAAATACAGCATTGGTTGATGCCACTAAAAAGTATATCAAAATACTATTAAGTGAGGTCCATAAGTCACAAGAATAGCTTCTATCAGTAACAGGATTCAATCATGGACTCCATGAAAACTACAGTGAAATTTTCTGTAAATCTGGTCTGACAGTAACAAACTCATCCTCATAAAATATGAGGTACTAGACGGTGAAAACTAGATGTACCTCTTACTCTAAGGACAAAAAATGGAGAAAAGATTTGATTAAAATAGTTTTAACAGTTCCCACATACCATGAAAACTTACTATGTCATAACAAATGGCAACATCATCTTACAGAAATGTTTCTCGTTGAATAATTTTTTACAAAACCCTTCAAAGTTCAAGGACAAGGCGAAATTTTTACCCATGAATAAAAAGCTGAATCTGCAAGAGCCCGGATTACCTGACAAATCACAAAGAATAGTCCAACCTGCCCTAATGACCACGTGTCCAAGACAACCACCTGGACAAATGACCACTTCCCACTTCTCAACTTGCATTTTTTCTACATAATACAGCATAACATGGATAGGTTGAACACAGAAGACTCAAAATCACGCATCCATTGAACTATGCCTGCCATCCCGTGTTTTTTTTTCTTCTTTATCTTTGTAAAATATCCCTCAAACTACGAATCCCTCGAACTACCCAGGCCCGTCCCTACAAATTCAAGCTATCCGTGTTATACTGTATAAGATGAGTGAACTATATCTCCTGTGTAGGAGGTTTGTCTTATACCTCTCTTCTCCTCAACAAAGGGTAGTCGTCTTGGAAGATTTTGACGGTAGTTGTAATTTAAAACCTCCAAATTTACACCCCAAAAAAATGATCACTGATCTCTCTCAACGATTTTTGTTGTTGACATTCTCACCTGACACAGTTTCATCCCCGCACACAGGTAGAGAAGAGCGGTCAGCGAGGTACTGACTCCATATTGGCACTGGCTTGACCGGCCTCAGACCACAGGGACTGTCTCTCACGTACGGCAGGGAACAATGCTGGGGATGACAAATGACACCAACATTTTTTTTTCCGTTTACCTTCTGGGTCATTCTTAAAATTCTAAACTATAAATAAACAAATTATTTTTTTTAAAAAGAGCCCCAACCAATAACAAAAAGAAAATTATCGTTCCTGTATTTTCAAGCAATTCTCTCAGTCATCTAATGGCACCTATGACCTTTAGCCCAGTGGACATTTATAAGCACTGTCTATAGTTACCAGACACATGCTTTAGGGTAGAGTGGAGGTACAAATCTAACAGTCGACGAAATAAATATGTTCCAGTGTACGAGTCCTGTAGACTCATGGGGCACAGCTCTAAGGTATAACACACAGACTGCCAGTATGTCCTTCAAATCATAATGGCACCATTACAATCTCACAATCTTTCCTTATTAAATGTAGCTAGATTGCTAAAAATTAATATTTTTGTTGTTAGACGTTGGTAGGAAGAATTATTTGACTCTAATAAATTTCCGATTTCAAGGTGTTTATTTAACACTTTGCGGTCACTTGGCGCAATAATGCAACAGTGAAAATTATCCATTCCGGTCACCTTGCGCAATTCTGCGCTCGCGCCAGCCCAGAGAAATCTGTTGCAGTCACTCTTCTGGCTTGGTGACTAGATAGGGTATTTTGTACTTCTGGCTGTGTGACCAGATGGGGTATTTTGTACTTCTGGCTGGGTGACCAGACGGGGTATTTTGTACTTCTGGCTGGGTGACCAGACGGGGTATTTTGTACTCCTGGCTGTGGGACAACAAAATGTTTAAAACAAAACATCTAATATTAAAACAGTAGACAATATACTGTGAGGAAGAACGCTGAAAAAACGAGAGCTGTTGTTATCGATCCAGTGAAACAAGAGAGCAACCTGTTGTACGGCACACGTCTCCATCCCCTCAAGGTCCCGTCGTCGTGTCGCAGCGCCCCGGCCACGCCCCTCCGTCCTGTGTATGGTCAGCTTGTACGTGGTCAGTACCCAGGGCTCGGGCTGTGCCTTCTCCACCACCTGTATGTGCGCCACATTGGCCCCCAGACCCAGCGTGAAGTTTGTCCACCTGGCAGAAAACAAAGAGGGAAAAACTTACACCCATTTTAGAAATTTTAGTTTTAGTAAGAGCCTGTCAGGACCAACCCGGGCTGAGAGAGGTACTTAGTAGGCCACCATTGGTCAAACATGGACATAATCTGCTTTTGTTTGTTTGTTTTAGTAAGTGTTTTACGGTACTTGCAACATAAATAAGGTCATATAGTTGCAGAAGATTAGAGGTGTTACAAGAGAGTAACAAACACAAAAAAGAAGGAGGAGAGATCAGGACAATAGATATTTGATAGGAAAGAAGGAGCAAACCACACCAACACACCCGTCAACCACCCACCCGTTAGAAATAAAAGATATTGATAAACAATCGTCATAATGCCATTTTTACTTTTTAGTGACCCTAATGGGTGTTTTTCAAGCACAACACACGCAGACAATCATTCATCAACGTCTCAAACAAACACAGTATATGCACACATTAACTAATTATTAATGTTCCTGTCAAACACAATATATGTATACATTATTTCATTTATGTTCCTGTCAAACACAACATATGCACAAAATAATTCACCAAAGTTCCATGATATACAATGTGACAAATATGCAGAAAACCTAAATTAATTGTTATCTCTATTGTTTTGTTTCCTGAATTTATTGTGATTTATGACTCAAAGATTTTCAAACCCAGGAAGGTGAAAAGATAAAAGAGTCCCATCTTAGTGAAGCCATCTGCAGTGATATTTAATACAGATCATAAAAGAGAAACAAGTGCAGATATTTTACACACATGCTGTCAGAATTTTACGTCTCTGATGCCTCGCTTTAGCCAGAAAAAAAACAAAAAAACAAACAAGGCAGGCCAAGAGCAACATATATAAAAAGTTTAACTTTTTGGGCAACTGTACTAAAATGTATCCCTCTCAACCCGGGTTGGCCCTGACAACCTGACTGACCTAAAAAGCTTTGATGGGGGTGTAAAACATTTACAATGATTACAATCAATCATTTCTCTGAGAGAAAGGTTGACTCGACGACAAGACAAAACCTGGACTTACTGCCCGCTGTCCACTGTGTTATCTAGCCAGCTGATAGTATCACAATGCTTAGACTTTGCCCGGATCCGAACCATCAAGATGTGTTTGTCGGTGAAAGCTTCGTATTCCGTGGTCAGGGGAGAGAATTCTGGCTGTAGCTCCAGGAAGGGCGAGATTTCTATGGCACTCAGGTACGGAAGACTGTTGGGGTCTGAAACAAAATGAAAAACAAAAAACAAACGTAGAAATATAATGTTAGATAATGCAACTAGAATGATACAGAAAAAGTTCAAGATAAAGAACTATTTATTAATTTATTAAATCAGAACATAAAATTCATTTATTTTAGCTCACAAAAAGATGACTTACTGGACAAAAGTTAAAAATCTATAATAAAGCAAACAGCTAAAACTAGTCCACAGGATGACCTGATAGGAAAGACAGAATCTGGCAAGTAGCTGAATAATGTCAGTGAAATTCTATAACAGGGCAACAGGGTACGTACACCAAGAGTGTTAAAGAGATAAAGAAAAAAGTGTTCGCCAGACAAAGGACTTACCAGAATCACAGCCTTTTGCTGAATCTAGCGTCTGTACATCTGAAACAAGAGATCAGAGAATGTTAGAACATTATGGATATAAAGCACTTAGTATACTCAACAAGAACTATTATATACCATTTTAAAAAGAGTAGTATCCAGTGATTTAACATTTTGTGAGCAACTAAATGTTCGAATTTCTTCAAAATTCATGAAAACTGTAAATTCACATCACGCATGAACCCCCCACACACACAAAAGTATGAGCGGTCACAGATGGGAAGATGGACACAACACATCAAAGGGACATAAAAATATGATCCCGATTAAATTTGAAATATCAATGGATTACATCCCTTTATACCCTTACCATGTCTATTGTGCAAGTTTCCCAAAATGGCCTCATCCTCAGTGTTTGGGCCATCAGGAATTCTGTTTCAAGAAAGAACAAAAAGAAGAAAAATAAAAAAAGAGACAAAAATTCACCCACACACCGACATTTGATAGAAATATATGAGATTTGTTTGCTCCTTCAGAATCCAAAGTGACGCAGTATGTTTTAAAAAATGGTTGAACACACTGGCACACTATAATTATGTACATACAAACACACACACACAAACAATGAACACACACTCTGTAGTTCGTTGGGTACTTTCATCACACACACACTCACACACACATACTAAACAAGAACGAGACTGTGGCTTACTTTGGAATGTTGAAGTCAGAAAAAGTTGATGCTTTACATAGAAAACTTCTCTCCATAGCAACAGCCAGTTGCTCCACCGGTGAGAGGGACAAGTTTTGGAGCTCTTTCAAGCCAGTTTCAGCACAGGTAGAAAGTACAGAGGGGAAAAGCTGGGGACAGAGAATGCAATTTCCTCATATCAGAAATAATCGAAAGTATTATCCTAATTTTATACCTTTTAGATATCAGTCTGAATTCAACTTTTAAAATGAACCTTAACTAAACGGCATGAATCAATTTTACATACACATTATTACCTATATTGCATGATACGCTAACAATATTCATCTGTTATCGCACGAAAAACATATAAATAAACAAACACCAACAAATATGCGGTAATGGCAGGAAATCAGTTTTCAAAGGCGCCTGGTCAACCCTCACGGATGCCAGCAATAAAGTCTCATATTTAAAGTTGTAAAAACTTCCCTCGACATTTGCATAACACAACTCACAAAATAAGTCTCTGTACCTTTTCATTCATAGCGATAAGATATCTATGAGTAAGACAACATCGAAGAATTTGAGGTATATGTGAATATTATAAATATCTTATTGATTTATTACAGCTTGATTTACTGTACAGACAATCTTGGGGACTTCTTTTTTTTCTATGCGTCTCACTTGTGTGAATAACATAAATAATTACATATATGATCCGGCATCTAAAAAATTAATATTGATTTCTTTTTCTGTATTGTTTTTTGAGAACTCACATGTCATCATTGGGAAAAGAAAAGATTTTTTAAAATGAATTTTTACCCCCCCCCCCCCCCCCCCCCCCGACAAAATACTGTGGAGCCCGCTTGAACTGAACTCTGCAAAACTGTCAGATTCTCTTTGGTTTAGCCCCATGTTTTGTTCAAAATGTTTGCTCAAATGGAAGAAAAAAATTTGAAATTTTATATGATTTCTGTTTACCGTTATTTTCGGACGAACCATGTTCAGTTCAAAGAGACCCTACTGTATTGTCTCTTTTTTCCCCTTTATGTGTCTCACTAAAGCCTGTTGTTTCAGTAAGAATTCAGTCCCCAAGTTCCTCACCCTCCTCCAGTTTCTGGTTGACCTTTGCTCTCTCCTCGTGTCCAGGAGATAGACCAGATCTCTGTCACTGAGGCACACACGTTTGTCTTGTGAGCAAATATCTCCCTGTCATGAAACAATGAAAACCATGTCATAAAGATAAACATTAGGCAACGATCATCAGTTTATTTATTACACAGATCTATTTCAATAAAGATTTTAGTTCTAGCATTATTAAAAGCAAGAGAGAGAGATGTATTCTTCTATCTCTCGTTTTCTCTCTCTCTCTCTCTCTCTCTCTCTCTCTCACACACACACAGATATAAATGATATATAGAAGAGTACACCAAACACAATTAATTTGAAAATAGTGGTAAACCAAAAGAAAATAAAAGCCTTTAATTATTTTTTACTTTTATTTGAGCAATCTCCCTAAAATGATAACGCAGCGAAACTAAAGAAAATCTAGTAAACCCGGCATTTTTGGCTTAATTAGACTCCACTGCACATATAATATGCAAAGAGAGAGACAGAGAGAGAGACAAAGACAGAAGAAACAAGACCGAGATAGTGTCTGGGTTTTGATATTAAACTGGTAGATGAGTAAGCCAGAGGGTGGCCAGAAAATTGAAAAAAGAAGACAGCGAAGAAGGGGCTGCGGATGAATAAAAAGTTATACTTACATTGTAAGGGTGTACAATATTTGAAGCTTGTAAAACTGTCAAAACGTCCCTCGCTGTTGTTTCCCGGGTCACCAACATGGCGCTGAGATCTTCCAGAACATTTTGCTCCAACAGGTAGCCACTGAGGGAGTTGAGCTTACTGGAGTAGGGGCTGGGGGTCACCTGTACAATGTCAGAGACAATACATATATTTTTTCAATCTATATTATATAAATTGACTCCAGGGGTTTCGTTTCTGCCCATGATATAATCAGGGATGCCAAATGATTTTTATGAAAATGAAAATGAGCAGAGCATCACATCTCACTTAAACCGAACCTTGTAAAGCTTTCAACTGAGCAAACAAAAACATATTCTCTCTTACCTCTCTCCTTTCCTAAACGGATGACAAAAAACCCGAACCTCCCCCCCCCCCCCTCCACGAAAACCGGACATTTGGCATCCCTGATATTTTTTTTATTCTATATTATACATGTATAGCTTGACTCGAGTGATTCCGTTTCTGCCCATGATATACATGTAATAATAATAATAGGCCTTTGGGGAGAAATCAAAAAGTTGGACAGATCTATCTATAGGCTGTTGTTGCACAAGGAAGCGTACAACGATCTAAACAAAGAATCTAGATAGTCTAGTATACCTAGACTTCAATCTGTTCCCGTGGTTCATAATATTACATTTTTGGGCTCAGTTTGCATAATTTCATAATTTTTTGTGTGCATAAAACCACGAGGACAGTTCAATAATGACTTGGAACTGATAAACTGCATTCCATGAATTCACCATGAGCAGGCTATTATAGTGAACTATAGGTATACGTCCCTATGATAAGTAAGAAGTAAAAGTAGTACGACATATGTAATATGCTAATAACAACTCAACATAATATATGGTTTAAAATGATTAGGGGGCCTACATTGCTGGTTTTTTTTTAGAACTTTGGTCAAAGTACATTCTGCCCCAACAGTATGTTACAATGATCCCAAATTTTAGTTCCACGGCAAAAAAAAATAAATAAATAAGTATCCATCCGTTAGCTTAGAGGGTGGGAAGCCACAGATTCTCTCAAACTTTGAAGTACTGTAGCTGGCTTAAAAATTAAGTCACACGGGAGATTTTGGTATCAAAATTCTCAGAAATGTAAGCGCTATTTTTCTGACACATCAAAAAAATTGTTTGAAGGAAAAAAATATTAAGTTTAAAATATGTTCGAAATATGGTCAAAGGGAAATAACCATTAAAATTGTTTATGGAGGTTGTATTTACTTGGTTAACGCCCTTTATCTTAACTCGAACCGGAAATCCCTACGGAAAGAAATAACATCGTGTAAAAAAATTCATTTATTAAAACAGTAATTCACAATACAAAATAAGTTAATCAGTCATTCAATGTTTTTAAAATCATTGTAATCCTGACATATACTGCTCAACCAACACGTGCTTTCTAATTTAAGCGAAACGACACAAATGCAGCTTTTGCTTTTCCCAAAAAAAAACTTGGACTGGTCACGTCACGGAAAAAATAAGAATAGGAAATAGCCTATCATTACTAATCGAGAATAACTTCCTCAGAGAATAAGTTAAACTTTCAATTTAACAAAAACACTAAATCTAGACTCTAGATCTGCTATTATTCGTTTTCATGGCTTTGTATCTAGGCTTATAAAAATGCATGTGTATCTTCCACGAATACCCGGATAAGAAGCTAAAACAACGACTTTACTTTTACTTAAGGTTCAAGTCCTAAGTTGGTTGCTATGCTGCACTAGATCTATGCATGGATATCACTAGGTTCTAGATCTAGACACTAGATTTCTAGGCTAGCCATAGGTAGGTCTAGATCTATAGATTTATAAATC